AGTTGAGGTACATCGTTAAATTACCTCCGTGTGCTTTACCGTCACAGGCAATAAAAATGTCATGTACATGAGTCAGATACATTTTCGCCTTTTATGAACGCTGTCTCACTGCCAATTTTGACAAGAACAATATCAAAAAAGGTGACCTCAAGGGGCTCTGTAGCGTGACACTGTTAATTTGATGGAAAAGCTGGTCACCTTTTGCAAATAAAATTAACATTTTTCGCACTTTTATTGTCAGAATAGGTATAGTATTAGATGTTCTACATATAAAGGTGATAGTCTAAATAACTAGAACACTAATAAACATTAAGCAAAACAGTGTGCTTCCACGTTACGTTAAGATAAGCAGTGCTGTTAGAAAACTTGAAGGAGTCGAGGACAATGTATGTTTCGAAACTTATTTATAAAAGCCGCAATAGCTATCATAAACACTGTGGTAATTTGTAACGTGGTGAATTCGTCACTGATTTTATGCATCTTAATGTCGCTTTAGCTACACACAGCCATATGGCTTTGGAATCTCAAGTTAACATTAACAAAAATTGGCTATTTGTATCTAGAAGTATGAATGCTCTGAAAGTCCCCTTCATCCTCATGATATATTACATAATGTTACAGTTGTGCGACTTTTATAACACCTTTATACGTCATTTCAAACCAGATTAATGGTACAAAATATCCACTTAATTATAACTAACCTATCAAAAAATAATAAAGCATTCGTGATTTAGTGCGTCTCACTGTGACTTAAATTAATGTGCCATTCACTGTTTAATGCGTTTAATGACTGACATACCCTGAAATTAATCAGGTTTTTCTCACCGACTCTCTATATAAAACACAATATATGATTTACATTTTTATTTTTGTTTTTGAATACTCATGAGAAGAAAGTTGAGACATTGTGAGCACTCAAAAGTTTTATGGGAATGGTAATTTTTTTGATTACAGCTTGATTCCACACGGTATTTTTGGTACAAGTATGGAATTTTCGGCATGCGATATCGGCAGCCCAAATTTAGCAGGCCGACCATAGATATCAGGTGTGCGTCGGCAGGGGATCAAACCCCGGATCATGTGCATGGTCGGCGAGAATCCTAACCACCGTGACACCGACACATGGCTAAAACAATTTACTCTGGCTTAAAAACACCCAAGAGTCTCAACCTGAGATTTAAAAATAAAGAGGATTCACACAAATTTCTCGAAAACTGTAATTCTTTCATTTCAGTCTTCTGAATAAAGTTGAAAGAATTATCGGGTTACTACTTTCATTGTTAAATAAGTAGGTAGTTGCTCTTTACAGGGAAGCTCTTTCATTATTAACCTTCATATAGTACAAACTGAGTTTCACATTTATACCGATTCTCCAAAGACCACAGTCGCTTTGATTTCCTCATGGATTATCCTAAATTCACATTGGTTTGACCATCAGAATGTATCTGGTCAAAGTCACTTATGATAATAATTAATAAAACATAAAGGATATTATCTAGGTCAGTGATTCAGAGATAGATTGCTCTCCGATCAAAAATGTGGTTCGGAGTCCAATCCTCAGCCGACATGCTCCTGAGTCTTGCTCAGCCGGCAGAAAGTCTGATAGGAGGGGAAGGTTGGGTATGAAGCTGGCAATCCCACCCTGTTAAAATTGAATAACACCACTGCTACGGAAACCTCAAAGTTCCAAGGTTGAACGCCTATTGTCCACTCGGGATGAAGAAGAATAAAATGTTTAAAATATAAGAGGATGTCATAATTCGGATGATTTGGAAGCAAATAATATTTATTACCTCGCTAACACAAACAACGTCTATAATATCAGCCTTCCAGATTTTTTAGTGGTATTTTTGACGATACCATTAAAGTTAAAGGATTTCGCTACTTGTTTTGTAAATGACTGAACCGCCTCCCACCCCTGGAATCCCGTAGACATATTTCAGGTGAATGCTGTCTGAAAAACTCCAAGCCATTACTTAATAATAACCTTTGCAAAATCTCTTCTTACAGGCATGACATAATTTATGGATGAGATATTATCTGCAGCAAAGGGTCGTTCAGATTCTGAAACCTTCATATATTTTCATTAACGGACATTTCCTGGTGAAATAACACTTTGCTCCTCAACCCAGTGTAGTTTAGCGTAAGAGTGTTAGGCTATTATTTTGTCTAAAATACTACCGTTAACGATATTGTACTACTGATATTCGAATTCATCGAAAAGGAATAAAAAAGGAAACCCACCAAGTCATATATAATGCATAATTACGTTAGGATATTAGGCCGTCACTCCATAATAACTTGTCATTGCGTCCATTAAAATCTTAAAGGAGGTCAATCGTTAGCCGAAATGCCTCATCAAATAACGTCTTTAACTATAGCACTTAATGATGTTGGTTCACATCTCGAGAAAAGTATCAGTTCCCTAGTGTTAATATACAAGAAGGTTAAGTCTGAGTATACCAATGGACTACTCCAAACTAACTAGCATGTGATATATCCACAAACCTCTTTCAAGTTCATTATTTCGGTTTCGATATCTATTTCCTTTTAAATAGTCCTAGTCCTACACCGATAAACGTGTGTAACACTGGCGTTTATGATGTGTTCATAGTTCAGTGAGTATTTGGATCGGGTCCCAGTGGCTTTATGGTATACAAGCTCGACTTGTAACCAGAAGGTCCTGTGTTCGAATCCCGGTGGGTGCACACTGACGAAGAGTCCAGTACTCCCAGGTTTTCCAATGGTTCTCTAACTAATGTCAGCTCATGATGAAAATCCTGTAATCAATCAAATCCCTACAAACCAACACTTGAAAATAAATGATAATTTGCTTCTAAGGTAAACATAGAGACGACGGAGGTGATGAAGATAACTAATTAACCAACAACAATAAAAACAATCAGCACCAATCAACATCAAAGGGAAACACTTGATAGAGAAACTTCTGTCACTTATCCGGGAAGCATCCCTTCACCCACAGGTAAAATGGATGATGATTTCAGAGCCAGCCAGAATCGGAGATGCAAGATACGCCTTTATCAACCTGAAACCAGTTTGGAAATCTTCTGCAATTAGCCAGTATCAACAACAAGATTCGGTTTTTTCCAACACAAATGTGAAGTCTTCTATGGGTCAGAAAATTGCACTGCACGTCACCAAAAGCATTTCCAATAGGCCACTACAGACCTTTATCGACAACCATATTCGCTTTATATTGAAGATCAAATGGCCGGTCGGAAAGAATCAGCAACAAGAAACTCTGGCTGGTAACAAACCAAACAAGAGTCGATTGCTCAACAAATATGTAGGATCAAATGGAAATGGATTGGGCGTACGTTGAGCAGGCTGTCGAATAACATCACACGCCAGGTCATCACTCGAGTGGAATACGATTAGGAAGCGAAGAATAGGTAGTCGTTTTGAGGGTGACACGGGAAATATTGTGGGGAATCGTCAACCTAGATGAAGAGGATTGCAGAAAATAGATTAAAGTGGAGATGTGTTGTTGAAACTCAAAAGAATAATAAAAATAATAAAACAAATCCTCTCAGTATGAGTATCGTATTCACTGACTGCACTTAGTGAATTCACTTCGTAAGTGATAATAAAGCCATTAACTTCATTGTTAAGCTTCCACCCTCCGGAGTTATGTTTCAAACAGATCATAGACTACTGATCAGCATATGACTGATGGAGAACATTTATGTTTTAAAGTTAACCATTTTCTAGATAAAGACAAATTAATTCCAAACACAGATGTATCAACTGTCCTTTATATGATGACTGACAGCTTTCATACACCTCTTCAATAAAACTCAATGATAATACAGAAATTGTGATTTAATGTAAATTACAACATAGCAATTTTTTTAAATTCCAGTTCGTTTAACATTCATTTAATTTCCTGGAACGAAAAAATAACGTTTGTGAGAATCACAGGGAGTACGCATCCACTGGGATTCGAACTCAGGACCCTCCGGCTTCAAGGCAAGTTCGTATACCGTTCAGCCACTGGGACCCGATGTAGTCAGCATCCCATCAATTCTAATTTCTACCAATTCGTGATATAGTGCAACCACCAATCAGTGTCATCAGCCGGAAATCCATTGCCACACTTAACTGAATGGACCTCACTGGTCACTGCCCATTACTCCCTGTTATAATTATTTGTAATAGTAGTATTTCGCAATGACTGAACTGCAGGAAATCAACCAACAACATAAAGAGGGATGAATTTGGGAATTTATATTTGGCGGACTTGTTCATATAATAAATATTAACAAACAAAAGTAAGTATTTAAACAGTGATAGAAACTGTCAATCACCACAGGTGCTCTAACTGATATCAATCCTTGGTGAAACTGGGAAAAAACAACTCTAATCCTTACAAACCAACTCTTGAAATGTTGAGAAAAGCTCTTTTTTCAAAACCACAAGGTTATACATAGTTAAAACAAAGACCCAATCAATGTTTCAATATACATAGCTTCACCGTCTACTCCTATATAAGCATAAATTAAGCTATCGTAGCCAAAAGACTGAACAATAAACATGAAATATAAGTGTGCAAGACTTGCCTTAACAAAGTCCACTGGGTTTCATAGAAAGTTTAATCATAAATGATAAATGGAAATGAATAAAAAGCCTTAACTTATTTGATTATCGTACTTTCAGCAAGTAAACACTGAATTCATTAATCAATAATTATTTATATTCTACTTCATTCACTTAAACAAAACAAACGTGTATCAAAGTGCAAAATACACAGACAACAGAAAAGGCTTTATACACATAATTCTTGTCATTCTCTAATACACGTTATTATAAACATAATCAATGCGTTGGTCGTTAAATGAGCTAACCAAAAGTATTGCCAACTCTACACTCGTCACATGATACACCACTCTCTTTTGAAACTGAAAAAAGGTGATTTTCATATATATATATATATATATATATATATATATATATATAAGTATGTTTTTCTCCAATTAAAAATTCAGTGTACTAATGGCATTCTAACATTTTTTTCTTCTGAATAACAAACTAAACTGCACACAGTAGTATAAACACTTTTCATTTTGTCGATAGCACAAAAATGCATTACCGTTTTGTGTGCATACCCACTGATTGATTCATTTTTTTTCGTTTTCAGCAAATTAGAATATTTTTGCATTAGTGTCTATGTATAAAAAGCATGTATAATTTATGTAAAACTGACTCAGAACTGTTACAATGAAGGAGTATCAAGTCACTATACTTAGCAGTGAAATGTCTGAAGATGTGGAATCCTATGCATGTCGGGCAGCCTCTGAAGCTCTTAGTATGGAAACAAGCTTCAGTGGAATTGCTGGTTTCATTAAAAAAGCTTTCGATAAAAAATATAAAAATACCTGGCATTGTATAGTTGGTACAAATTACTGTGGGTAAGTTTTTATTTCTAAACACTTTTACTTATTTCGCTTTTTTATGGACAGGATTATTTGTATTTCAGAAGCCATGTGTATTATTATTATTGTTCCCTTGGGTTCCTAGTGGAACATAGGGCTTCAACTGCACGTCTCCACTTGTTTCTGTCTTCTGCTGTACTTTTCACCAGCATCCATGTTAGTCCATACTGTTTCAGCTCCTCTTAACACGATCTCCTCCATGTCACTCTTGGACGTCCCACTCGCCGCTTCCCTTTCGGGTTCCACTCGAGCACTGGCCTGACGCGCGATGTCACCCAGTGGCCTCCTCAGCGAGCCATGTGTAGTCATAGAATTTTTTAAGAGTATCAGTGGATGTGTACCTTAATAATACTGCCATAGATTTATGTTTAGCTATAGTTAATGGAATTTTATTAGTGTTGAATCAAGCTACGAAAGGATTTTAAAGAGTTTTTCAGCCGGGTTCTTTTTAGTCTCTGTTCACTTTTAAAGTAGTAGAAACAACCTTTGTAAACTGATCATATGGTACTTTATTATTTAACGTTCACAGTGAAACACAGGACTTTAAGCTAGTGCTTTGAAGTTTCAGTAGCATTGGTTTTATTTTTTTAAGGAGTGCTGTTGTTCGCCTCATTCCCAACCGGTCTTACTTTCGGCTTCGAGAGGCTTAGAGTGTTTCAGCTGAGAATCGAGCCTCAGACCACGTACGTGGTTGGCAAGCGTTCTACCGCTGAACCACCGAGACGATCATATAGTAGCAGTGTATAAATATCAATAATCATAGACGCAGTGATTTGTTCATGTCGAACAAGTCTTCATAATAATTGTAATACAGAAAATGTGGTGTAGTATATGATGATAATTACAGTTACTTCAGACACTATTAAGAACAACAGAACATTTCCTTCCTGAGGAACAAGGATCATTAAGAATCCAAAGTCTGTTTATCTAAAAGAAGTGTAAAGAGACTATAAGGTTAGACAAACTAACTAATACAACAACATTTTGTACTTACTTATATAATGATTTCCAGCGTGATGAGATAACTAACTGTTTATAGTTTACTATGTGATAACAGAAAATTAACTCGTTGACTTGAGCTTAACTGATATCTGGGTAGTCACTGTTGACAATACACTTCAATATTTGTAATTTCATAATTTATCACACATTACTGTCAACTCTTTGTATTTTTGACAGGGCATTCTCACATGAAACTGGATCATTCATTCATTTCATTCTGGATGATCTCACATTTTTATTGTATCGATCAATTTAATTGAAACTGCAATTAGTCTTGCTTACCTATAGTATGTATAATGCTAATTTATACCTTTAAAAGTATTCCAAAATTGTACAAGTTACTAATAAAAGATTATTTTCATTCGTAGCTTTCTTAAACTTGTTTTCTTCTTTCTGAAGTGTATTTATAAGGAAAATGCTGCAAAGACAGCAACACATAATCTCCAGCAGTGTATACTCATGATCCCAACAAGGACCTTCAGGTTATTAGGGCGTTCAGTGACTTGATCTGGAATTTAGTGACTTTTGAATTTACACTTTGTCAATTCATGCTATCGCTGACTAATGTCATCAATGGGCAACCTTTGTTCACCTTAACATGGTAAACTTCACTGGCCAAGACTTCTGATTACAATCTAAGGAGACTGACGTTAAGATTATACGTTTTGTAGTGATTTTGACTCATATCAATATAGATTTCCTTGAAAACTTACACCAGTACAGTCTATTCAAAATATAAAGCATATTCCACTGACAAAGCATGCACTTACGTGATTAAACAGCAACATTCTGTATCATTTCGAATGTATGTGAATATTTGCATGCGGTAAAAGTCAAAGTAATGAAGACAACTAACCATCTAAATTATACCGTGCTTAGGCATTATTGGAGTTAATCATTCTGAGTGTTATTCAAAACAAAGTTAAAAGTTCCACCTTGCAATGTCAACAAGAATAGTATTTCGTGTCCTCAGATAGGAGGTAATATTAAGTCTATAGTGCGACGAAATAAGACCTCGGAGAGCTACAAAAGGTGTTTCTTTCTGATAAGCCATTTTTGAAGTAAATTTATAATAATTATTTTATTCCTTTATGTTCCCAGTGGAACATAGGGCTTCAAGCTAGAGCTATAAAGTTTCAATGGCAGTGGTGTTCAATTTTTATGGGTTGGAATTGCTAGGCCTATGCCTAACCTCCCCTCTTTACCGGTCTTATTACTGGCTTGGCTAGGTAAATAAGTACGTCGGCCGGTGGTCAAACCCCGGGTCACATGCAGGATTGGCGAGCGTTCTACCACTGTACCACCAACGCACTTCGAAGTAAATAACGCAGATACATTTAGTGCAGAAAAATTTGTTAACATTTTGGAAATAACAGTAACGTAATGGCGATCTTTTCTCAAACATTTATTTGCGTAATAATTTTGTAGTTAAACCACTAGTTGTAGTATTGGAACACTTAGTATCAGCTTGAAAGGACTAATGCAGTTTAATGCAGTTGTGTTAGTTAATAAATGCTAAGCTTATTTATCTTAACATGAAAACTTTACTTGTCAGACTAATTTGATAATATCGTCATGAAATTTGAAGCTGAGATTAAACGTAAACGGTCACAGAATTTAAAAGAGAGTCATCTGTTTTGTCAGCTTTCAGATTAGCGCCTTCGATATTTCGCCTACTTACACACTTCCCTGTTACCAAAACACAACTTTTATGGTTCATAAAATTAATTGTGATCCATTCCCTATTCTGTGTGAGAAGGTGCAGCTTTCAACCTGTGACAATTATCCATCAGAACATTGGAGAGATTGATCGAAGAAGTATACAAATTAAAATTAGGCTTGTGTAAACAAGATTTAATCAATGAATTAAATGATAATGAAGAATGCAAAATGAGAAAAATTAAGTTTATGATGATATGATAAGGAGTTCAAAGAGCACCGTTTGTATGCAAATAATCGCCACTTCATCTGTGATAATTCAGACGTGAACGTTTAACTAGAAGTAAATGAACATAATCAGTATCTCAAACACTGACAAATTTCGAAATAACAGAGGAGATTTAAAGTTCAGGTGGATGATTTTGATTTGATTGCATTCTCTCTAAGCTGACTGATTTAACTGCGATTTTTCAGTTATCTCTATATATAATATCTGTAGAGCATAATTTCCCATAAATAATATAAATGTTTCCCTTGATAACCTTTGTGGTATTCAAGTATTGGTTTTTAGGGATTTGACTGATTGATTACAGGATTTCATCATGAGCTGATATAGGTTAGATAAACACTTTAAAACCTGGAAGTACTGCATAGCTGTTTCGTCAGCCTAGTTTGAAACTCTTTAGCAGTACACACTCACCATCACAGTTTGAACCCACAACTTTCCAGTTACAAGCAGAGCTCGTAAACCATTAAGCCAGTGAGACCTTTTCCAATGGCCCACCCATGAATTCTAAATTCCGCCGATTCACAGTATAGCCCGACCACTAGCCAATATCTTTGCCGAGTATTCGAGCTCACACCCGACCTGCTGTGCCCTATTGGTCACAACTTACAACCAGTATCCCAAAGTGGGACGAAACAACTGTCCAGTACTCCCATATTTACCAGTGGCACTCTAACCGATGTCAACTCATAATGAAATGCTGTGACCAACTGTGTGGTAAGTTATTGTTAATCTGCATATGTACCGATAGCTTTTATTGACTTGGAATTTTATGTTTTTGTCATGTGTCTAATTCTTTATTAACTGGTAAATTTCGTCCACAGTAATATGTCTTATCCGATGACTCATCTCAGCACCAGACCCCTAGGATTTTTCTGGCATTTTTAATACTTTTATTGTATGAAAAATTGTCAAATTTTAACGGATATCCATAATGCCTGACGTGAAGGAAGAGATGTCGTAGATTTCGGTACCTAACTTATGTGTTTTGATTTGAATTCTAAGGAAACGTCCAATTTGACCACTACACTACTTTTCGCAGCTGACGCAATTTACTTTGCATATGGCATTTATATTATATTCTTTATCTGTTGGATCTAATGGTTCGGATAATATTCATTGAAGTGATTGTGTTGTTTGGTGTGTGTGACATCTGTTTCCAATGATTCCAATATTCCATTCGTCCTTTTAGAAACATTCCCCATATATGGCGGGATAAATTTTCTTGTATCACTTGAGGATAGTTTCTTGCTAGTAGTTTGATTTGAGTTTAGACATTTTTTGATGAAATTGTATGGGTGTCCATTTTTCTTGAAAACAATAAGTTCATATTTCTATTCAATTCTCTTCAGGACAGGGATGCTTAAGCGTATTCTAACCCTTGGATAATATTTATAAACAGTTTCTTTAGTGCACTGTTGTATTATTGCTGTTGTAGATCAATATTTGGTCTCTGTGTGTGTGAGTTGATTTCCTGCATACATGCATTTCTAGATTACTTATTTTCATTGTCAACAGATACACTTATACTGAAGTACTGGTTTGTAGGAATTAGACTGATTGGTTACAGGATTTCATCATGAGCTGACATTGGTTAGAGAACCATTGGAAAACCTAGGAGTACTAGACAGCTGTTTCGTCCTATTTTGGGACTCTTTATCAGTGCACACCCCCTGGAGTTCGAACTTAGGAACTTCAGGTTACAAGGCAAGCCCGTAGACCATTGAGTCACTGGGACCTGATCAAATGGCCCATGAATTCCAAATTCTGTTAATTATATCATTCATGGGGACTTTAAATAAACCTATTTTATATTAAAACTTGCAACATAGATGTTATCTAGGGAGACAACATCCAGCGCAGAAAACGCAATCACATCGAAAGAGACAAATTACTTTGATAACTCCATACGGACAGTGAAAAGTCAAAGTTAAAGTGGTTTATACTGATAGTACTTCTGCAATACTTTGACAGTAAAATAATTTAATTCACGTAAGGACAATAACGAGTCTTGATTTTCGTAAGTATTAATTAGACAGTGAGTATTCAGGAAATCCAAATTAAAACTTATTCTTACTTAAGTTCAAGCATCTAACAAGAAATGCTGACTTGCACTTAGCACCAGGTTAACTGATAGAATTCAATAATGTTTATTCTCAGATAACCTTCAAACAAAATACAAGTAGCATTTTGATGTGTACCATGTATAAAAAGGTTTGACTACCACTCCTAAGAACTCAGCAAATATTATGAAGAGATGAAGGATTGGTAAAGTCTTGAACACAGTAGACTCAGAAGTTTGGTTATAAAACTAGAAAGCGTGAAATATAGAAAAAAGCTTGCAGGAGAAACGCATTATGAAAAACATATTCACAAATTATTTCTTAAATTGATTACAGAGGTACACATTAGACATTTCAAAACATTGACAAGTAAATAAAGAATATCCTTTTCGTCAACTTCTTCATCAGTTTCTACATCTACATGTCCTTAGTAATTAAAGAATTGTTGTTACAGATGGTATTGGTGCTTTTTATATTATTATTATTGGTTCCTTAAATTCCTAAAGGAACATGGGGCTTCAGCCGTTCGTCTCCATTACGTTCGGTTCTCTGCTAGAGTCTTCACCTGGCGTTAGGTCTGCCCACATGCTTTCATCTCCTCTTCACATGACCTCCTCCAAGTCACCCTCACCCTTGCACTGACGACCAACTCACCGCTTCCCTTTCGGGTTCCACTCGAACGATGGCCTGTCTAGTGATGTCAATTGATGGTTTCCTCAGAGTATGGCCAATCCATCTCCATTTCTTCCTGCCTATTTGTTGCACAATCGGTTCCTGCTGGGTTGGTTCGCTCCCAGAGATCCCTCCCTGTTGCTGATCTTTTCTGACCGGCCATCTGATCTTGAGTATTGAGCGAAGACAACTGTTAATGAAGGTCCGCAGTTTGTTTGAGATGCTCTTTATGACGCGCAGTGCAAGTCTCTGATCCGTATAGCAAGTAGCACTGACTTCACATTGGAGTTGAAAATCCGGATCTTATTTTTGATGCTGAATGCTGTTGACCTCCACACAGACTTGAGAGTAGTGAAAGTTTGTCTTGCTTTTCCGATTCTTGCTTTGATATCCTCGTCAGTTTCGTCCGCCTGTAGCTGCAACTATGCTTCCCATTTCGGTAGGTAAAAGAGGTTGTTTCTTTCAGGTTCCTCCCATTTATTCTGATCGTTGTCTGTTGTTGTTGTTGTCCAGGAATCTTCATTACCTCTGTTTTCTCTATATTCACCTGAAGTCCTTGCTATCTTTGATGCTTCTTCTGCCAACTTGTTGCTTTTCGCTTGCATGTCTTCCAGTTTGTGGGAAATCAGACATATATCATCGGCGAAGTCCACATCCTCCAAGTTTTTTTGTTTGAGTCCACTTGATGCCTGTTACCTCATTGACCGCTGTTTGTCGTATTATCCAATCTACTGCAATCAGG